GGAATAATAAATGCCTACTTCACTACCTGTGACCCAGCAGGGGGCTCCCAGGTCCGGCCTGCAGTCTTCTGTGATGATGTCATCACCTCACCCGATTCTCTGGCTTCAAAACCATAGAGTTTGCCCAAAAACTAGAGCATCACCCCCCAACATTGGTGACATGATGACATCCCTTCCGGGGGTGGGGCCAGCTGGCCGGTGGCAGATCTAAGCCCCCAGAATTGGGGGAACCCCTGCCTGGACTTGGGGTCTGGTCACCCTATTGCCGGGTCTCCTGAAGGCCTCCAGCCAGGGAGTTCCCCTTGCCTCCTCGCGGAGCCCATCCCATGGCCTCCCTGGGAAAGGACCAGACTCTGATGGGTGCCGGGTGGGCCCCCCCGTGGGCCCCCCCCAAGGAGGGGATCAGGGGGTGGACTGAACACTCTTGCTGGCCCACAGGGACATACGGGAGGAGACGGTCCTTTAGGTAGGGGGGTCCCAGGCCTTGAAGGGCTTTAGCGGCTGTAAGCAGCACCGTGAATTGAGTCCGGAAGCAAACTGGCCAGCCCGTGTAGCTGCTTTAAGACGGGGCAGGGTGTGTTCCCATTGGCTCCTGGATTCTGGACCAGCTGCAGTTTTTGCATTGTCTTCAAGGGAAGCCCAGCGTAGAGGGCATGACCGTAGTCCAGCTGAGAAGTTACAGAAACGTGCATCGGCGTGGCCAGATTGGCCGGGTCTGTGGAGAGAGAGTTGGCAGCCGGATGCAGCTGCCGAAAGGGGCTTCTGGCCACAGCCTGGCTGGGCCCATGAGCAGCCCCCAGGCTCTGAATCTGCCCCCCCACAAAGGCCAACTCCGGATCCAGACACCCCCCCCAAAGTCTTTCTGACCAGCATCACCTCAGTTGGGTGTGGGCCATGTACGGACAAGAGAAAAGGGCGGCAGGGAGACAGGCAGCACCGGGGGGGGGGACTAGGCAGACCGGAAGCCCCCCCGAGGCCCAGCCGCTCGCCTCACTGCTGCGGAGAGTCCTTGCTCTGGGTTGGTGGGTTCAGGCGGGGCAGCCGTGGTGGGCTGAAGCAGCAGCGCAGCCGTGGTTGGTCATCTTAAAGGTGTCGCTGGACTCAAACTTTGCTCTGGCACTGATGCTTCACTGGGGTGTTTTGCCACACAAGCCCCCCCACCCCACCCCAGTCCCTGACAGTTTATTTATTTATTTATTTATGCTTTCAATTTAATACCCCGCTCTAATCCCATAGTTGGGGTCTCTGAGCGGCTTACAAGTTTTTCTTGGTGCTAGTCACCGTTTCTGTTTCCTAACTACGGGCACAATGTATATAGGGGAGGGACATCCTACCAGCACCCCCTCTGTGGTGGCATGTCATGCTGTTCTCTCTGTCGGGGCAGTTCGACTTGGTCAGACGGGACTTGGGACTTGGCGGAAGTGTCTTGTTTCTGGCGTTCGGTGGTGGTGCGCTCTTCCCAGACGCGCGGCTTCGCCTACTTCCGGCCCAGCTATGTCCTTTTCTGGCTCCGCTGGTCTGGTGCTCGGCGCCTGTGCACGTCCCCTCGTCCTTCTCAGCAGCCGTCGGTGCACTCCTCCTTCGCCACCAGGGATCGCTCTGCCGCGCACCTCCCGATCGCGCCCGCTCGCTGCCGCCACGCCGTCACTGCCGTCCACGCCAGGTTCTCCGCCGCCGTCATCATTGTCGCCATTGCCGCCGCCGTCCTCAGCCAGCCACACAGGGTGCCCCCCACCCTTCTAAGGGTGGGTACCCATTTACCTACTTGCAATTAAGTTGCTTTCGAGACCGCTGGGTAGGCGGGAGCTGGGGTGAAGGTCGAGAGCTCACCTCGACCACGGTGGTACTCGAACAGCCAGTGGCTGCTCGGTGATGTTACAATGCAGGCATTTAACTGCCTGCGCCACCTGCCTGCGCTCACTGACTGCAGAAACTCTGAGCATGTATGGGTGTGTGTGAGAGTGAGAGGGGGGGGGACCAATGCTCCCTCTAAGGTGTGGAGTCTTGTGAGCAAAAATTCTTGTTCCCGCTTTTGAAGACCAAACGGTTCTGGTTCCGTATCGTTTATGAAACACGAGGCAGAGCGCGAAATCCCAAACCGGGGGTGGGGGGGGGGAGGTTTCCCAGATCTGCAGGGCGGGATCAGTGGTGCCCGAGACCCAGCTGCAGAAGTGTCTCGGGGTACTTGGCCTTTCTAAGGGACCATCCCCGGAAAGAACTGAGCAGGGTCGGGCGGTGGAAAAGGGATGGGCAGCGCTACTCAGGTCGCTCAGAGAGCAGCAACGTTGGTAAACTGTTTTGGTGGGGGGGTTTCTGGAAACCCGGGACTACCTTGATGGAACAAGAGGGCAAAGAACCACTAATGGACCAGCTACTTCCAGAAATTCAAACTGACAGGATAGTTAATTGACAGATGAGTTTTGGCAGGCGGGGTGTAGCCGGTCGGAGGCAAGAGAATGTGTCACATTATGAAAAAAAATATGGTTTAAGGGGATCCGCTTTAAGGACGGCACCTTGGTCAGTGGTGGTTGGACTCATCAGTCTTTTGTTGATTTCTTGTGTGCTGCTCCAGTAGAAGTCAAGAAATTAACGTGGAGAAACCTTCCTCCACATCCCATGAAGGCTCCGCAGGAAATGGCTCCTGCCTCCTCCCCCCCCCCCCACCCGCCCGAGCCCCTGCTCTGCTCTCGGGGCTTCTTGGGGAGGGGTTGCCCGGGAAACGGAGGCCTGCCCAGGGCCATTGGCAGCCCAGCCTGAGGCCTGCAGGCGGCCATGCTCCTCAGCCTCTCAGTCCCCCTGGGATCACGCCTCCGGGAGGGTCAAGACAGGTTCAGGGAGGAGGAGAGGCCCGTCAGTGGCTACTGGCCGTGGTGGCGGAGGCTGAACGCGGAGCTTGGCCTCTGAATCCCAGAGCCAGGAGGCAACGTCAGGGGAAGGCCAAGGCCCCTTGTTGGCCCTCCAGGGGAACCGGTTGGCCAGTCTGAGAGACAGGATATGCTGGACTAGATGGACTCTCAATGATCTGATCCAGCAGGGCTCTTCTGAGGTTCTTAAGATGGGAGATGGGCGGGGGCTAAGTGGTGAAGCCAAATCTGTGGAATTCCCTCTCCAGATGCACTCATCTGGCATCCTCTTTCCTATGGTTTGGTGTCGTGGTTAAGTGCGTGGACTCTAATCTGGGAGCACTGGGTTTGATTCCCCGCTCCTCCACTTGCAGCTGCTGGATGACCTTGGGCAAGCCATAGTTCTGTCAGAGCTGTTCTGGAAAGAGCAGTCCTTCAAAGAGCTCTCTCAGCCTCACCTTCCTCACAGGGTGTCTGTTGTGGGGAGGGGAAGGGAAAGGAGTTTGTAAGCCGCTCTGAGACTCCTTCGGGTACTGAAGGGCCATGGGGTATAAGCCCCACCTCCTCCTCCTCCTATGTTTTTGGTGCTGGGAAGATACAGATTTATTTAGGTGAGCATTCAGGGAGGGAGAAGAAAGAATTTCAGTAGTAACTACTCCATTTGATGCTGCTGTATCAGTAACAGGTCTTTCCACCACTTCTTTGCTGAATCTTCCTTTGAAAGCATCTATACTCATAATCCTCACGACCTCCACTGGCGGGGAATTTTTTCACATTTTAATGTCTCATTGAGTCAAGAGGTATTTCCTCTTGTCTGCCCAGAGCCTGTTGCCCATGGTGCCGTGGTTAAGTGCGCGGACTCTAATCTGGGAGAACCGGGTTTGATTCCCCACTCCTCCTCCACTTGCACCTGGCTGGATGACCTTGGGCAAGCCATAGTTCTGATAAGGGCTGTCTTTGAAAAAGAGCAGTTTCTGTCAAGAGCTCTCTCAGCCCCACCCACCTCCCAGGGTGTCTGCTGTGGGGAGGGGAAGGGAAAGGAGTCTGTAAGCCACTCTGAGACTCCGAATCCAATCTCCTCTTGTTCTTCTCTTCACTGGGTGCCTCAGAGCTCTGTCTATCCATTTGCTCTACCCCCAGTGGCTACTGAACCCATTTCCCGCCCCCACACAACTGCCTGCCCTCCTGGACCTCTGTTTCTGTTTTGTATCTGATAGGAATATGAGGCAGATTAATGCCTAACCTTGCCTGGAATAGATGGTTCAAGATAATATTTGTTGTTGTTCAGTCGCACAGTCGAGTCCGACTCTTCATGACCCCATGGACCACATCACGCCAGGCCTTCCGGTCTTCCACTGCACTCCGGAGTTTGCTCAATTTCATGTTTGTTGCATCTATGACACTGTCTGACCATCTCATCCTTTGCCGTCCCCTTCCTCTTTGACCTTCAGTCTTTCCCACCATCAGGGTCTCCTCCAGGGAGTGCTCCCTTCTCATTGGGTGGCCAAAGTATTTGAGCTCCAGCTTCAGTATCTGGCCTTCCAGGGAACAGTCAGGATCGATTTCCTTTAGGGTTGACTGATCTGATCTCCTTGCAGTCCAAGGGACTCTCAAGAGTCTTCTCCAGCACCATAATTCGAAAGCATCTATTCTTCAGTGCTCAGCCTTCAGCGCTAATAACATAGGACCTTGGAATAGGAAGGATAAATTACACAGGAGTAAAACTACTGTTGTGTAGTTGCAAATGCAAGGGACACTCAACACCAGTAGTACGAACAATGCAGAATAACATATAGTACAGATAAACATTCTTTCCACAGCTGAGCATGTGCAAGGGGTAAATCATGAGATCCTGGGTACGTGTTTTGCTATTCTCACTATGCCTTTGTCAGATTACATAAAGACTGTATAGGCCATCTTGAAGGACTCTGTATCTTCTTGATAACGCGTGATGGGTGGGAAGACCCGCATGTGGGCGTCTGATGTCTTGCCTGCTGTCAAGCTTATAGCAACTCTGTGATTGGATGACCTCCAGAACCTCCTCTTGTTAACAGTTCTGCTGAAGTCTTGAAAACTGAGATGGTAGAGAGAGTAAGTGCAAAAGTCAAGGCTAGTGCTGGATTGGAAGGCACTGGGTCTTCATAACAGTCTGCATAATGATATTACCAAAAAACCTGATTTATTATGATAATAACCAGCTGTAAATACATGCAGTACATTAAAGGTATAGAGGTAGACAGCAATAATTAGAACAGGAGTGGTGGTGCAGGCGGTAGAACGCCTGCCTTTAACAACACTCGAGCAGCCGCTATGGCTGTTCGAGAATCACCACGGTCGGGGTGAGCTCCCGACCCTAGTCCCAGCTCCGGCCCACCCAGCGGCTCGAAAGCAAGTAATTAAATGCGAGTAGAGAAATGGGTACCTACCCTTAGAAGGGTAGGGGGCACCCGCCTCTGGTGTGTGGAGGAAGGCGGCGACGGCCAAGGCAACGGCGGCAATGGTGGCAACAATGGCGGCGGCAAGACCAGGCTGCAGCAGAGTAGAGACGGCGTGGTGCAGCCGCAGAGACAGAGCCAGAGGAGCGATCCCTGGTGGCCTGCAACAAGAACACCAGGGCGGCTGTCGGCGGCGGAGGTGGAAGGAAGCGATGACATCATCTGAAGGCGCGGCGGAGCCTGTAGGACACAGCCGAGGCCTAAGAGAGACGGGAATCGCGGGCTGGAAGCTGACCCGCCTGAGCGCCAGAAAAAGAGCATCCCGCCGCCGAGACTGCCGAGGAAGAGCCGAGCCGAAAGAAAAAACAGCAGCCTCTACATGGGTGCCTGGTAGGCAGTCCCATTCCCTGTTCAAAATGTGGCCCAAGTTAGGAAGCATTGTGACTAGCACATCTCATGTAAACCGCCTAGAGACCCCCAAGGGGGTTAGGGCGGTATAAGAAATCGAAATAATAATAAATAATAAATAAAGCTACTGTGTGTCATTTTCTTGTTTTTGTACAAGGGAGTGCATTTACAGTGGAAAGAGGCACCCTGGGTTGACATTTTCATATTTTGCATGGTTCATATTATGGATGGATAGTGACCCTTCCATTTGCAAATACACGTTAGTCATGTGATTCCTGTGTAATCTGTTCTTCTGGTTTTAATCTGGCTGTGTCATTAAGAAGAGCACTATTCGCACTTGTCCTCTGTTCTTCCCCAGTCTCTTATGCTCTTATGTTCTTAGTAGCCAGGTTGGACGATGAAGAAAGCTGATGGGGAGAAAATTGATTCCTTTGAAATGTGGTGTTGGAGAGTTTGACGGATACCGTGGACCAATGCTCCCTCTAAGCTGTGGAGTCTTGTGAGCAAAAATTCTCCTTTGCGAGCTACTGGCGTTAAAGTTGTGAGCAAGCAATGTGGCTGCTGCATCAATTAGTTGGCTCTGGAGCCCCATCCTTCCTGAGCTAAGACAAAAACGTGTGACCCGGAGGCTAAAAATCTGTGAGCTGGCTCACACTGACTCAACTTAGAGGGAACACTGCCGTGGGCTGCCCAAAGGGCAAACCAGCGGGCTCTAGCTCAAATCAAGCCTGAAGTCTCTTCGATAGCTAAAATGACTGAACTGCGGCTATCATGCTTTAGTTACATTATAAGGAGAGAAGACAAAAGTCACTGGAAAAGACAGTAAGGATAGGGAAAGTTGGAGTGACTCAGTCAAGGAAGCCACAAAGGCACTCAGCTTGCAAGACCTGAGAATGGCTGTTAACGACAGAGGACATTTTGGAAGACACTAATTCACAGGGTCGCCATGAGACACACCGTCTATTCTAATTATCTCAAGGTTCCACGTTGTCCTGAACCGAAGACACAGTTGGCCATTACTCTGCCTTTTATGTCTGTCCGGTCATGACTTTGCCCCCGTCGTCGTGTTTTTGAGCTCCTTTCCCTTCCGTTTGGCGTTTTTTGTACCTGACCCCTCTGGGGGCCTCTGTGTGGTTTCTCCTCAGTCATCTACATCTGTGGGCCACTGGAGATGCTGCACCAGATCATGCGCCTGGCCCAGTGTGAGAGCATGACCAACGGGGACTACGTCTTCTTCTACGTGGACGTTTTTGGGGAAAGCCTGCGTGCCGAGGGGCATCGGGGGGCAGCCAAGCCCTGGCAGAGCAAGGACGGCCCAGACCCAAGTGCCCTCCGGGAGGCCTTCCAGGTAAGACCACCACCGCGGCATTAGAGTGGGGGGGGAGGAGGGGAGGAAGCCGACAGAGGAGAAGCTCCCCCAAAGGTGTCACCCCCGTGGGCGTGTTGCAGTGCCGGCTTGGGGTGTGTGTGGGATTTTTAGAAGCTCCACATTTAACATGCTGAGCCACAGCTCAGCCCCAGGAGATGTGAAGCAGTCACAAGAAGAGAAGAAGAAGAGGAGACTGGGTTTATACCCCGCCCTTCACACAGAGCGGCTTACAGACTCCTTCCCCTTCCCCTCCCCACAACAACAGACACCCTGTGAGGGAGGTGGGGCTGAGAGAGCTCTTGACAGAAACGGCTCTTTTTCAAGGACAGCTCTTGTCAGAACTACGGCCTGGTGACTTGGAAACCCGGTTCTCCCAGATGAGAGTCCGCGCACTTAACCACGACACCAAACTGGCTCACAAGAGCAGCAGTGACTCTGAGTAAGTGCAGAGAGCCTTTCCCTGAGGACGGAGCAAGCCCCGCTGGGCCCTGTGCATCTGCCCGTGTGGGACGGAGACCTCCTTGGTGAGTCAGGCCTGAGCTGTGGTGCCTCCTCTGCTGGGGAGAGGGACCTCCCGGGTGGGGCCTGCCTCTCACCCCCCCCCCCTCCCTCCCTCCAGCAGGAACGGGGAGGTTTTCCGCATCTCGCTTGACGTGTGTGAATTGGAGTCCTCCGTGACCCTTGGCCCACGGGGGGAGGGAGGTGTATCTGGGCCTGGAGGCAGGGGGGAGCTGCTCCCTGCTCTCCTGCAAGTCCTGCTTTGGTAGAAACCTGAGCTGCCAAAACGGCTTGAGTGTCTTCAGGAATGGCCCGAGCCTGCCCTGACAGGGACTGCGGCTCCCTCTTGGCACAGGGTGGGCCGCTTCTTCCCTGTCAGCCACAGCTCCTGGCTTGGTGACTAAGTGCGCAGAGGACTCTAATCTGGGAGAACCGGGTTTGATCCCCCACTCCTCCTCCACTTGCACCTGGCTGGATGGCCTTGGGCAAACCATGGTTCTGACAAGAGCTGTCCTTGAAAAGGAGCCGTTTCTGTCAAGAGCTCTCTCAGCCCCACCTCCCTCACAGGGTGTCTGTCTGTTGTGGGGAGGGGAAGGGAGAGGAGTTTGTCAGCCGCTCTGAGACTCCCTTGGGTAGTGAAGGGCAAGGGGAATACATCCAATCTCTTCCCTCTTCTCTTAACCTAGAGATATTTATACTGATTTTTGCTGTGTGTGGAATTAAAGTTAGCATAATTTCCTGTTTGTATTGAACTTCTTGATTTTAGTTACATGACCTGGCTAATGAAAACCTGTGATCTTCTTTTCTGTACCCTCATTGAATGTTATCTAGTTTTTGTATCGCTATTTATTGCCGGACACTGTTGTAACAGTATTGGAAATGATTAATAAAATATAAATTAAAAAAAAAACCCCAAAAACCTAGAGATATTGAACTGAATCATGCTTACATAGATTCAGGCCATCTTAGACCAAATGTTTGCTGCTCCAAGGGCAGAATGTGCCTCTGTTTTAAAAGTAGGGGTTTAGTGCCCTTTCTTTCATCCATATATATTTTATTCAATCCATTTCCCATCATTTTCTCCCACCCAGCCTCCGGGCACACCGCTTTGTTGTTCCTCCGCGTTGGGGTTTCCGCCTTCCGGTTTGGCTGACGAAAGGGATCCTCCTCCGCATCCGGGGGCCGCAGCAGACGTGCCCAGAGGCCTTTGCCGCCTGCTTGTCCGCTTCCCAAGGGCCTCTGGTTGGCCGCTGTGTGGACAGGATGCTGGGCCGGGCGGAGGCTCCCTGGCGTGATCCAGAAGGGCCCCTCTCATCTTCTCTCCAAAGGCCTCCTTGGGAGCGTGAGGCCTGGCCCCGATACGACCCCGCAACTTCCCCCCTCTCGTTTCAGACGGTGCTGGTGATCACATATCATGAGCCCCAAACCCCCGAGTACCAGCATTTCCAGAAGCAGCTGATCCTGCGTGCCCGGACAGAGTTTGGCGTGGAGCTCAACGCCTCGCTGGTAAAGGCCCCGCCTGCCTGCCTGCCTGCCTGCCTGCCTGCCTGCCTGCACTCTTCCCCTGCTTCCTGCCCCCGTGGGACAGACAGATCGAGCCTCTGGGGCCTCTGGCGGGAAGCGTAAGGAGGGAGAGAAGGCAGCCTTCCGGGCAGAAATCCGTTCCCTCCCTCGCTGCCGCTGGGAGCCTGCCTCATGGCCGCAATTCCAACCCTGGGGACGACTGGAGACCGCAGCCATGTCTTTGCCCCAGAGGGCGCCTTGATGCACCAGGATGAAAATGCTGGCTCGACATCTGCCCTGGCCGGAGGGTTGCCCTGGCCTGGCTGGTGGTGTTGCTCTCTTCTTCCTGCCTGGCCGCCTCCAGTCCTTTCCCGAATGTCCTTTCGCCTGCCCGTGCCCTGCGTGTGATCCCGAGGGGCTGCACCCTCTCTCTCCCGGTCCTGCCTTTGCGAGAGCGGCTGGTGCTCTCTGGCGCCCGTGGAAGGAGAGGAAGGGAGCAGACGCTCCTCCCCGCCCCCCGCCCCCTCTGCAGGCGTGCGTGCGTGTGCTCCCCGGTTTCAGTGCTGGGTGGGGGGAGACTGGCGGTGGAAGGGCCCTGCTCCCTCCCTCCCTCCCTCCCTCCCTCCCTGTCTCTGGAGCTCCTGCTCCTGGGATGTGCCGGGCTGCCTGCAGTGCTCCTTGCCCCTGCAGGGCCCCCACCCCCCCGGGGCCTGGACTACTGCAGCGCATTCTGCACGGGGCTGCTTCTGTGGAGCGTCCGACGTGACTGGGGCCCAAAATGCGGCAGCGGGACTGCAGGCGGGTGCCGGCCACACACAGGGCACACGTCGGTCTGGCTCTCCAGCCATGTCCTTCCTGAGCCCTGCAGAGCCCCGGAGACCACGTCACAGTCCCCGCCCCGGGCCCGCCTGCAGAGTCTCTGGCTGGCCTGATTTCCCAGGCCGCCTGGTCCTGCTGGGTGGCAAAGGGGACTCCTCTGGCTGTTGGCCGCCGCCGTCGGGCCCCTCCTGCTGAGTCTGCGCTGTCCGAAGGGAAAGGAGGTTCTGGTCCCTCGGCAGGCTGACTTGGGTGCCTGGCGGCCCAGGAGATCTCTTCCTTCTCTTCCTCCCAAGGCGCTTCAGGAGGGACCCTCCCCGCCCTGGGAATTGGCGTCCACTCTGCTGGGCCGCGTGGTACGGGGCCCCTCTGCCTGTCACACCGAGTTCCTCAAAGGCGGGGGGGGGTCTCTGAACTGGGCTCTGGGGCCCCCTTCCTTCCTTCCCGAGAGCCAGGCCATCTCCTGTGTGTGTGTCTGTAGGGGGTGTGTGCACAGCCCCCCTGGGGTCCAGCTGCAGCACGCACCAGATGGACTCTGGGAAGGTGGGGGAGCAGGAAGCCCCCTCTCAGACAGGCAGGCGCCAGCTGTGACTTTGGCACGTCCCTCAGCTGGCTGCTCAAGCTGTCCCGGCCTGCCCGGAGGGGGGGGGGCTTGCAGCCACTTGGGAGTCCCCCCCCATTGTCCCCAGCTGAGCAAAGGGACCTGCGAAGATGAGCAGATGGGGGGGGGGAGAGACGCCCCAGGGCCAACCCCTGCCCTTCGCAGATGGCACGGAGTCTGCCCTTGGCATGCGCCACGCTCTGCCGCCAGCCAGTCATGCCGCTGAGTTGCAGTCACAGGATATGCCATCGCCCCAATTATTTCGGGGGCCCCCCTGCATTTCTCTGTGGCCAGGGAGGGCTGAGGCTCACGGGCTCAGAGGCAGGGTCCTGCCTGTCCCCCAAAGAGCAGTGCTCCATCAGCAGGGGCCTCCGCGTCCAGCGGCAGAACTCCCCGCCTGGCCTCTCTGGGAAGGATGGCACTTGTGGGGGGGGAGGTGGGGGGGCTGCTTTCTGGCCTGGGGGTGG